TCGGGGACCTATTTCCGCCACCCGCGACACGTCTTTGAACAGTCCAGCCAATTTCCCCCAATAAATCAAAAAAGAGGGTGTTGTTTTTTTTTTGAGAAAGACTTGTGAACGTTGACCGATCATGCAGAGACGAACACCACAGCAGCTGCCATTGCGGCAATCGTCGTCACTAACTTCATCCTCATTAGCTACATCTTCGCCGCCCTCTCCGAACCCGACGACGAGAAGAACAACAATACCATTACCGACCTGCAGAAGATGAAGAAGAAAGACTCCTGACCACATAGCTCATCGCCTGAAATCTATCTCTCATCTTCAAATCTCTTGCTCTCTTACTTGTGCGTCTCTGCTTTCTCTTCTTTGTCTTTTTTTCAGATCTTCTGGGCTTCTTAAAATATCCCTGTTCATACTGTCTTTTTTTGGCGTTCACCAGCTATCCCCATGATCCTCAACTTACCCCCACCACCAAACCAGGAACTCTTCACATACTTAAATTTCACCCCATGATCAAACCATCTCCTAGTCTCTGTTACGTTTCCACATTTGAAACCAAAATCACCAAGCGGATCTTTTTCTGTCCTATTTTCCCCCCGCTTTGTTTGTAATTTAGATCATTAAACTTGAAGTTATCAATATCATCAACAACTATCAACAACTTTATAAGTGAAAAGCAAAGCCAGGTTACCAAGTACAGCTTGCAGAGTCCAAACACAAATATAAACCCATGCCCAACCACAACCCCCAAAAAACACACCCAAAAGATTACCTCGCACAAGCCGACCAGATTCATACCTTTTTTCCTTGTGTGACAAGGACCCCCAAAAAAGGGTCGTTTGTTGCTATCAGGTTTGAACATGAGAAGAATGGGGTCAACATAATCATCAGGAGAGAGGGATGATCCGGCAAGAACATATCTGTTTTTTGAGTCCAAGGTTCTTTCTTTAGTTGAAGTTCAAGGATCGAGATCAGTTTTTCTTTCTTAGAAAAAAAGACAGGGGGGGGGGGGAATACAAGTTACAAGAAAAGTGAACAATGGATTTGGGAATGGAACCACGGGAAGTTGTACAAGTATTCAGTTTCAAGAGAACGGGTCTTGATTAGAATTAGGGGGATATTTCTGATGATGTTTAGCGAGATGAGCATGTTCGAGTTCGGCCTGTTTGATCTTAAAGAGTGCGCTATTAGGGTCTTTCTCAGGGTTACGACAGAAGCGGAGTCTCCGATCGACTGCGGTAACGCGATCTTTATCGATGGGTTTACGCTGAGCCTGGATGAGGAGTTCGGAGAGTGTTTGAAGGTATTGGGTGAGTGGATCGAAGCCCAAGCTTGAGGGGATGTAAGTAGAAGACTGGTTTGAAGACGGTTGGAGACGGTCGGCCTTGGCTTTGAGCCAGGCCTCGGTGGCCGACCGATCGGCAACCCACCAGGCCGCACAGGCGATCTGACTGGGCGTCCAGAGGAACTCGGCATCCGTCAGTCTGCCCGTCCGAAGCAGAGCGCAAACCTCGGGCCAGGCCTGGGAGAGTTGCTCGAGGCCAAGCGGACCTACGCCTGGACAGGCCTGTAGGTCCAGATAGATCCCCCGCGCTGCCAGATGGGCATGATGGACTTTGAACTGGAACTTGAGCAACTGGGTGACCAGGAACTCGAGCGCCAGGACATCCCCGTTGGTCGTCTTTGGGATCCGGGAGGCAAAGCTGTCGATCGAGATCGAGGTGTTCTCAGTCTTGGTGGCCAAAAAGAGACAAGTAAGCCTGTGTGTGTGCGGAAATGATTTAGTCAGTTTTTTTTAGGTGGATGTAAAGACTGAGTCTGGGGAGTGCTCTTCTGACATGATATTTTCGGGATGATAATCCATGCAGGTGTTCCTGAGGTAGAAGCATTTCAAGTAGCTAATCACGGTGGCCTCGACGGTCTCGGAGAAGTTGAAGATCAAAGCCCGACAGAGTTGAGAGATCTTGGAGAGTTGGAAGGTCACCAGTTCGAGTTCATCTTGGAAGGTCAGATATTCAATCTGACTGGGTTTGGTTGGCTCATCACCGGCTGAAGGGAGGTTGACGTTCTATATAATGAAGATGATTTGAGTCGAGCTGGCCTCTCACTTTTTTTTTTTGAAAAAAAAAGAAAACATCTGCCCCCCTTAAAAGGGGGCGGATATCTGCGGGTATCCGCGCGGATACCCGCTAGCGCCAGCGGGTATCCGCCTGCGGATGCGGATGTGGATGCGGATGTCCGATTCCGCTGAAATGGTGAGCGGATATCCGAATCCGAACGGATATCCGGATGCGCCGCGCCCATCTCTAGAGCTGTAGCAATAGCCTGGTAATAAGTTTGGATCAACTATCATTGTCATTCCTTGAGAAGTTACCTTCTAAACTCTCTCTTTCCAGGAAATTTTTTAAGTTTGAGTTTTGCCCTCAACCCAGTAATTGAACAAAGAGAGCTCCCACAGAATTGAACAAAGAGAGCTCCCACAGAATTGAACACAGAGCATACAGGGGGATCAACTCCAGAAAAATCGTGATGATACCTTGATTCCCAACCAAGGAAGAATTCAAAGAACCAAGCACTTGATTGAATGGCTTTGAGAAGACTGTGAGAGGACTTTCCAATATAAATGTCTTCAAATTCACCAAAAAAAGAAATTCTTTGTTTTAGCTGAGGAAAACCTTATTTTTTGCGTCTGGGAAATTTTGGTCATAGCGAGATAAGTTCTGTGACCTTTTTAGAGATGGGCGCATTGAATCCGGATATCCGCGCGGATGCGGATATCCGCTCACAATTTCAGCGGAAACACACATCCGCATCCGCCGGCGGATACCCGCGGATACCCGCCCTCTGAATGGGCGGCGAGGCTCTTCCAGGAGTGTTTGTTTTTAAAAAAAAGAAAAAAAACCAGCCCCCTCGGCCTAAAGGGGAAGAGGCCACACCGTCCGGAGGAACCCCTCCCAGCGAGCGGCTACATGCCAGCTCGCTGGGGGGGGTC